ATTGATCACTGATCAAGAAACCCATACTAGGACGAAATGGCCGTCCAATGTTTCCATTTTTTAATGACGGTCTAACATTGATCGATTTATGATCTCAATCTATAACTGAACAATCTCCACAACCCCATACTGATTTTCTCTGTGTGTTACAAGATTTAAAAAATGACAAACAAATACATACAAATAGTTAGGTGGAAGTGGTAAAAGTATTCAAGATATTTAAAATAAAACTACAAAACATATACCAATCTATTCTTTCAGCTATTTATGATTCACCTTTATTATTTGGAGGGGAATATTTTCTATTTTATTTTCAGTGTTGTATACTACTATTGTAAATATTACTTGTAAATTATATATTAGTAACTATATTATCATTATTATCATGTTTATTCTTTTTGTTTTACAGTGTTTATTTATACATCTACTGTTATTGTTATTGACATTATTGATAATCCTGACCAATGAATGAATTCATCATGAAGTATAGATTTCTCTGTCAATCAGGATACGATTTAATTTTTAATTTCCTAATTAGTCAATTATTCTTATTTAATTGTTTATAGTTTATTGTTTATTATTATTACTATACTAATAATAACATTATAAGTAGTAATGATAATAATAATAATAATGGTAATACGTAGTATTAATATGATTATCAACAGTTGTTACTAAAGCGATTATAGATAAATTATTTTGTCATTGCTAGGGATTTGAATAAATATTGATAAAGTAGTTTATTAAAATGATTATTTATATTTCACAGGTTGAAATCATGAGTCAATTGAACCTAGACCACCATGGAAAACCTGCAAGCACTGGACGGCCGTTTCGTTCTAGTATAGGACTCCTTAGCCCGCGGAACCAGTAGGTACTGGGGTTCGAATCCCGCGGGGTGCGGGATCGTGGATGCGCACAGCTGAGGATTCCAATACTAGGATGAAACAGCCGTCGAATGCTCCCAGGTTTTCCATGGTAGTCTAGCTTCATTTGACGCATGATTTCAACCTGTGAAATTTCTATAAAAAAATCTCCACAAAACCCATTCTGATTATTTATATGTTAAAATAGATAATCAATAATTACTACTGAAAAATATACAAGTAGTTTAGCAACAATAATGATATGAATAATAAGTGATTTGTAAAATTTGTTAGTTATTGTATGTTGTTTTACATCAACAATTAATAGCAGATGAAGGAATGTTTGGAAATTTGAAGTCAGCGTAGAACTACTTCATAATGATTTGATATTCTCAACGGTTTCCATGTAGGGATTGAAACCATAATCTATGTATAGATAATAATAATAATAATAATAATAATAATAATAATAATAATAATAATAAAATCAACTAATGTTTCATTTCGTTTTTTGGATTGTTGAACAATACCTGTTCGCGGTTAAAACTTTAATGATTTGTTTTCAGATCGATAATCTGAAAACAAACACTCTCTTTGTTCAGTCTGAATATTATGGATTTGAGAAAGAGAACAAAATTTTGTCAACATGAAAAAAGAAATCTACATTGGATTCAACAATGAAGAACATTTGTAAAGTGAAATAACGTGTTGAATACAAAGTCCTAGAGTAAATATCAACTCTGCAATGCAGGTACATTCAGCTGACAAGTCCCAAGTAGAAAAAAACGCTAGTCCTGGATTCCACTTCTAGCTACCATCTATCTTTACATATGAGTCAAGCCAATATTGGACAAATCCACACAGGATGTATAAATGGTTGCAGTCCTAAATATCACTGGGAAGATTCAAACAAACAATATAAAAAACAAAGAAGCAGGTTAATTTTTATTGAAATTTATCATTATGGATAGAGAAGACTACTTACTGCTTAGTGATCAGTAAATTGTATGGATTTAAAGTTTATTTTATATTGTCACATGCTCACTAGTGGATAGCTTCAGGTTGCGATTCCTGGAGTTCTAATGTGCAGCTGTGAACAATACAGTTCAGTCACGTTGGGTTTAAGATGGTTATCCACGGAAAACAATAAAAGAATAGTATGTAGTATCATAAAATTGATTAAACTTAGACGCATAGACCTTCGGATGCCGGCTCGGCGATCTAGAGATTAAATGTTCGTACACAAGATCGACATTTCTGTGTTCGATCTTATGTGGAATACTTTTGAGTCTCCAATTGTAGTCTAGCTAAGAACAGTTTGTATATTCCTTCAAAAAAATAAAATTTCTAAAGCAGTCACTTGGTACAAAACATTGAAACACGTAGATTTAGAATAAAATAGTTTACTGCCAACTTCACCTATCTGAAATATGGAAAATTATGTCGACTTTAAATATCTGTAACTGTAACCTAAAACGAATACAAATAGTTGTTAATTAAGTTAAAATTGAGAAATTTAAAGTTTTATGAAAAAGCCTTTTCAAATGAGTGATGTGAATATGGTTTGTAATACTTGTGAATAGTTTTTATACAGTAATTATCTTTTAAGTTGAATGATTCATTGAAATTCTGAAAAATTTCATCACTACATATGATTAATGTTGAATTGAACTTTGTCCAGTAAGACAATTATAGATTCATCGTTAAGCAATGTAGTGTGAAGGACGTGACATTATGAAATAATTGATAATGTTTAATAATAGTAATAATAATAAGGTTGAAGAAGCTACTGAAATCAGCAGAGGTATGAACCATTAGAGGAAGAGAACATAATGTTTTATACACACATCAACAAACAAATAAACACAAATAGTCACCCATATATCTCAAGGTTAAATTCTAGAAAATACAAAAATGGAATTACAGTGAAAAATTCACTATTCAATTATTTCTCCCTATTATTGTTATTATTATTATTATTATTAAAAGTATTAGTAGCTTGAAACACAGACATTTCACTGAGACGAATAACATTAAACTAGGATACATCATGATGGTCATGAGAAAATTGAACATATTTTTTTAAGAGTAAAAAGGAAAACAAAGTAAGAGTCATGACATACCCTTTAATAAACATATAGAACAAAGCACATCTCATTGAAGCTATGTTGACATATATTCACAATTTATATATATATATATATATATATATATATATATGTCCGTTTGATGTCATTGTTGTTGAATTGTGGCTTTTCGACATCATATCAGACCTGTGATGTTCTTGCTTGTTTGTTATTCTTGCTTCTTTTTTCTCCAATTTGATCTGTGATGTATGTATGTATGCCTGTTTGTTTGTCTATGAATATTACTTAAAAGAGTATATAAATACTCCCTTTGTTCTTCATCTTTTATCGTTATCATTTTTATTGTTGTTGTGTGTATTTTCTCTCATTTTTTTGGGTGAAATTCAATATAAGTGAGTTAGTTGTGTTTTCAACTTGTGCTCCTGTCTTTCCACTATTGAGTACTTTGTTATATTGCATCATACTCATCTTTTCTTGTTCAACTTATCTCTCAAAATAAACAAGAAACAGATATATATATATATATCTATACAGAAACACACAAGTACCAAATACATTCTGGGAAATGAACCGTGATATAGATGAACAGACAGATAGACAGACAGACAGATATATGCATTATCATACATAGGACAAATATGATTTACAGACATACTTATATTAGACATATAGATTTACTTATCCAATTTCCTAAAAATAAATATCAGAATTAAAAATGAAATGGTTTTTATATGTATTGAAATTTATTTCTCATTTACATTATTATAAAAAAAGATAAATAATCATAACAATATGGAATACCATTTCTTTCATATGAATAATTGGTATTATGATAGAATTTTTATCTAACCAGATGGAAACTATTATCATTATTCATTGCTTATCTCATTCATAATAAACAGAATCCTTGTTAAATTCATTGATCATCTATGAAATTGGATTATTAAAAGAGAAGAAAAGACTGGAATAGTTCAGTACAAAAAAAATTTGATCAGTCAACTCTAATTCTTTCAATATTAGTGAATGAAATAAGAGAAAGAAAGAAAGAAAGAAAAAGAAGATAACTCCATTTGACTATTTTCTTATTATCATAGAAACTGTTCATTTTATTATCCTTTTTTTAAGTGATAAAGAAATTGTAACAGATATAACTATTACCACAAGAAAGGAATTGGGTTTAGACAATACTGGGACGTTTACTATTACTATTATTATTATTACTATTTTATCGAATCATTTTATGTACTGTGATCTCCTATTTATAAATATCTATTATCATATCCTATGTATCCAATGGTTATTAATCTAGTTTATTCAAATTTATTGATTTCATTGATTGATTGGAATTATAAACGACAAATCAATTTAAATGAATGCAATATTACATAATCATCATCATTACTTTGATATTATACATAGCAACATAATCTATTATCATTAACATTAATTTCTATATTTTTAATAGTATTATATGAATAGGCGAATTCTTGTTGTTGTTGTTGTTGACAATTATGATCTCTTAATTGATTTTAATGGATAATTATTGTTTATAAGTAGTATATGATGCATTTATTCATTTCCGATCCATACAAATTCAATTTTTCAAATGTGTATTCATAAGAAATTTCCATATATATAGTTCCTTTTCTCACAAATCAAAGAACATTCATTTGTATGAAAAAAGGTTTTCATGTTAAATAGATCAATGTTATCTTGGTATAAACCATTTAATCATCAAGTATTACTTATATTTCAAAAGATTACATAGAAGAAACAAGCAAACAACCAACAAACAAACAAAGAAAACATTATTACATAATAAATAATAGCAGAAATCCGGCTTCCTCTAATACAAATAATAATAATAATAAAGTGATTTTACATCATAATATTTGCATTAAATTAAATGATCATCTTATTCAAACGGACAATATTTGTGATATTATCATTATTCATTGTTAATATCTATGCAGATTGTTACAATTAGATCAATATAGGTTTACTGAATTGATCGGATTTCCTACTACATTCTAAATAATAATCATAAGAAGAAGAAGAAGAAGAAGAAGAATAACAAAAAAGAAAACAGATAATAAAGAAAAGGGACCCAACACTTTACTAAACATACGGATTCTTTATCCTAAGTGTTTACTGAATTATTATATTATATGATTTACACAGTTAGTTTTCTTTGGATTATATCATATTAAAGAGAATAATACAATAGAAATATAATAATAATATATAAAAATTATATACATAATAATTATCAATGGCACGTGGAGCTGGTGGTTTATTAGATGGTGGATTTGTATTTAAATTAGGCAGATTATTTAAAACTCCATATGGTGGAGAAGGTGTTGATTTTATTGATCAATTAAATTATCAATTTACTGGTGGACTAATGGTTATATTTATAGCAATTATCAGTTTTCGACAATATGTTGGTAAGTGATTTTATTCCCCCTTATTTTTTGTATTTCTTTGATAAATATATTACAATTATGATGATATTGATGGATACATGTTTTCTTTTTTATATTCATTCCAAAACTCAATTTCTTTTTCGGTAATATGAATGTTTCTTTTTTTCAGCGGGGGGGGGGGAATGAAACAGTCTATAGTTTTTAAATACAAATATAATATGATATGAAAATAGAATACAAAATTTTTTTTGTAAATTTAATTACTCGTTTAAAGATCCCCATCATATTAAAAGACTAATATTTGAACGAAGAATATTCTTTTCGATAAATTCTTCAGTTTCTTCATTTGGATGACTACTGACAAGGTTTGACCTTATAAATAATTGAAAAAAGATTGGTTTATACTGACACTACGATCAGTTTGTATCAAATGGGTCAATATTGAGCTGTTCACTTTCTTCATCAAACCTTTTTTTAACCACGTTGGGAGGTGTTCACGAACACGAAAATGTAAATTCCTAGATCTTCAACCAATATAACTCGCTCCACAGGAGCAGGCAAACTGATAAATACATTTGACTGAATTGTAATTGCAGTATTACTTCTCTCACCCTATTTGACTCATATTTATTCTGATCATGGATCTTGAACTTCACTTAACATATATCCAGATTCAAGTTAACAGTCTATCTGAGTCATATTAACATTAACAATTTTATTGTAGTTTGTTTATCACAATCCTAAATTCACATACTTTAAACGATGTATTTTGGCCTAAACCTGGGCATTCTTCGGATTATTAATTTGGATACAGAATTGTAGAACCTAAAGAGAATTTATCGAAAAGAATATTCTTCGTTCAAATTTAGGTACTACTGACATATGCTAATTCATTCACTTTCCTATTTTCTTTTTATTCTTGATAACGTTTAAAGAAACTTGTTTCCTTTTTTTACACTTTTAATGAAACTTACATTCAGTAAAATATTGAGATAATTTTATTTGGTATTTATTTTTTATCTCAAACAAGCATCCAGCTTCAATTTTCATAAAATGATCACTATTTGCTAACAGTTAATCCTTATTTAAACATTAAAAATTAAAAACACGATGTTCAGCAAAGGGATCTCTTTTCAACGAATTTATTATCAAGCTGTACACAATCGTACATATATAAATACGAGAACATGTCCTAGTTTGATTCTACATGAATGAAAGGAAAACAGTTAGGAGTTCTATACTTGAACACTGTAATCGTTCTACGGATCCAAATTTTGATTTTACGGTTGTTTATATGACTCGTTTAAATCTATTTAGATTTCTTCGAATCCAACTCTTAAAAATAGCCGATCATGAGCTCAAACCAAAATTATGCGTACAAAAAAGTACGTCTTATCGTTATCGTTACTTTAGCCTTAATTAATATTACTATTATTACTGCATTCCCCTTGTATTCTCATTATTTTATCCATAAATACTCATCATATCTCCTTGTTTATTTCTACACCCTTATGACCTTTAATTATTGTAACAAAAACACCTTAATCATCTTATTATATCCACTAAATCGAATGTTATTTTTCGTATTACGTACTCTAGTATAATAATCATTCTATTACATTATCTTGGTTATTCGTGTTCACATTTCCTCATGGAATTAGTACTTTAACAAATAAAAATATTGTCATATATATGTACGATTGTACAGCTTCATAATAAATTCGTTGAGAAGAGATCCCTTCGTTGAACTTCGTGTTTTTAAACTTACCATTTATGATTTTGACTGAAAGTACTGTCTTAATGATTAATAAATAGTAGCAATAATACTGATAATAATAATAGTAATAATAATAATAATTATTATTATTCTATATGACTTTGGTCAGTAATAAAAGAAAGTTGGTTAGGTATACTTTAATTCACTTTAAATGTTTTTTTCTTTTCTTTTTACAAAAGAATAAACATATTTTATACATTTAATTGACATTTACTTACAATAAACCTATATAATTCATAATAAATAACTCTAATCGATCACTATCAATCACTTGGAAACAGGATGTAATCTTCCTTTTAAGTAAAAAATAAACAGGGACTAAGTGAACGAGTAAATGAATGAATAAGTGAGTGAGTGAATGAATGAATGAATGAATGAATAAACTGAATAAATTAGTATACACGCAAAACACTGGGGAAAAAAATGATTGGGAATATAGATGAGTCTTATCAGTATTATTATTATTATTACTATATTCTTTTTTTCTATCGAAAAATAAACAAATTTTCTTTTCTTCATAAAGGATATTTCTGGAACAAAAAAAACTAAAAAAAAATGTTTCTAAAATACTTTAAATTAAATGGATTGAAAAAAAAGAATCAGAATTCGTTTTTTGCTTGGGGGGGGAGGAGGGAAATAAATTAAAACCCTGAGGAATGAACATCATCCATTCATTGGTATATAAATATATGGTATGATTAATACCTTGGTTTATGTATTTATTCAATATTTTACAATACATGACATATAGATATATATCATATATTGTATTAGTGATTATAATAATAAAATTCTAATATAAAGTATTAAATAAATTAATGGACATATACCGACAAAAGAATTGAACATATATCCTGAATTATTATTATTACTGATACTAATACCATCTATTTTGTTAAGAGATCTTCATGGATGGTTACAAAATTGATCTAAATTTTGGATTTATTATGGAAAGATAATATTTTGTCCTCCCCCCCTCTCTCCCTCTCTCTCTCTCTCTCTCTCTCTATATATATATATATATATATATATATATATATTGATTTTTTGTTTATCGAATCAAAGATAGTGTGATAATTTAAAGTGAGTTGTTATGTAGATAATTGAACAAGTGTTTATTTGTTTATTGTTTCAATTACATTCGAGCTGTCCATTTACCATTTTTACTTAAAATAGTAACAAGGACAATAAAAATTATTGACTGAAGTTGTGTTTTTTTTTGGGGGGGGGGTTCAAACAGTTTACTTAACTTTTTAAAAAAATCATAGTTTCATTGGTATGATTAGATGAGTTGTTGAGTTCAATAACTTTTGATAACAAAAATTAATTCTAAAATTGATTAGTTGTGGCTTAAATACTTCAATGGTAACATTTAAGTTATGAAGCTGAATGACATTGATTGATATCTTACACAAGCATCAGTTCAATTAAAATTATGCGGTTGCATTGATGTAATTAGTTTAAATGAACATGGAACCTAGTCTTAGGGACTGATGTTAGTCATTTTCAATCATCTAATGTATATAATATAAATCTACAAATATTTCATCACACATTTATCTATCTAGTAAAAGTTACATAATTACTATGAATATGAGTTAATAAATGTGGTGATTATAGAGGCACAAGACAGTCACTGAGATTGTGGATTGTTTGATCAGTTACATCTCCCAATTAACTGATAGTTAAAACAATCCGAAATTCATCATCTCTTATAGAAATTAACTGTTTTGAATAGTTTAAATGACATATTTAAACAACTTTTTACACGTGGAACTTCTGGTATAGCATTCTATACATAGATTTACATACAGTTGTTGTCATAGTGACCAATATATATACGTTTATATAACTTGAAGGAGAGACAAAATGTTTAATAAAGTTTTACTTTCATTGTATCAATAAGTTGGTTAACCAAAAAGAATCATGTTCAACTTATGGTTGACTTGTTTAAACGTAAAGGATGAATGATTAACCTACAACAATAAAACTTATTACCTTTTCAATATATATGTATATATATCCCTACTTAAACTGATCAATCAGATATTTTAAAATGAAGCACTGAAATTGATGAAATGTTTCCATGTCATCTAAATAGATATTTTATTGAACTAAAATTTGGACAAAAACAAACTGTATTGTTTTATAGATTAGAAAATCAGTAATAAAAATTCCCACTCTGACTAGGTATATTGTAATCCTTAAACTTTATGTTTATTTGTTTGCCAATTACTCGTTATATAGTAAAACAAATAAGTGACTGATTGGTTTATACGTTGAAGAATTTTATTCATTGGTAAAATCGATCAATTTCCAACTAGTGGATAACGGTTTCGAGTTCTGTTCTTCTTGTTTTTGGTTTCCAATAGCGTAAAGTTATGTATTAGCACCAGCTGTAACATAAAAAACAATAAGGTATAAAACTGGGTGCATCATTATGTACTTTATGAATTAGTTACGATGAACTACATTATTCCCTATTTTATATAGGAATAAATATTTTCAATTTGTTATTTGATAATCTAATAAGTTAGTGATTTTTCTTTTCAGTACTTAACACAATCAGTGAAACAAATGGATAAATTACCAAGAAACTTCAATTTATACATAGAAAACTATAGTGTGGCTATATATTATACTGTAGTGAACGAGGTCTTAGTGGGGATAGCCAACTGAATTCTTAATGAAAAATTACACTATGAGTTTGTAAAATATGAAAATTCTACATTAAATACATATCTTCCTTCAGTTGTCCTTTACCTACTCCACTATTTTTCTAATTCTGTTGTTATTTGATTGTTCCCCAAGTTCCTTTCTGTTCTTTCCAATTCAATCTTCAGTTGACAGGCATTCCATTACCGATTGCTGCTAAATACTATTTATATCTGTCAGCGTAAGCAGCACACACTACAATACCACTGAGTCCACCCAACTCCAAATAGTACCTTTTAGTGTTCTGCAGCAATATCCGATAAGTACTGCCAGCTGATATTGATTCTATCACGAGCTTTATAGTAGGAACTTTCATTTAGAGTTTAAATCATCAAAGATCATACCATTTTATAGTGTTAATGGTACTGTAAGGAAACTAAATCGCGTGAAACATTTGTTTCTTTTAATATAAATCATGTCATTATTTTTATATTGAATAATAAACACGGTTATGTTAAACGAATTATTTATCACTTACATGTATTATAAATCACTGCCTTACAATGTTATTCCACTAACATTTAAAGGA